AAAAAAAAAAAATGCAAATGCTTGTTGCAGCTCTCTTCACAATAGCAAAAACATGGAACCAACCATGCTGTCCATGGAAGGGAAATGTGGTACATATACACAATAGAATATTATGTAGGCATAGGCATAAAGAAGGACAAACATATGGACTTCACAGCATTTGTAATTGATACACCTGAGGCTAATAATACAGATGTATTAAGTAGGGGGACTTCTAAGGGGGTTAAGGGATGGATGCCTGTTGGGGGTCAACAGCCTCCTAGTTCAGGGGTTGGAGCTAGACTGGAGTGGTAAAATGCTCAAAAAAAGCCTGTGAAGAAGACTTCCGAGATAATAAAGAGGATTATGCCATATCGGAGAGCTTTTTGTACAATTGATGTATGGTGACCTTAAAAAGTACCTTCTCGAATAATATCGCATCATCATTGATATATAGTAAGTGTATTAGTAATAAGGCCTAGGGCTAGGAGTATAAAGGAGTTGAAGTGGGATCATATAACAAGACCTGATGTTATGAGAAAAACTGAGAGGGCTCTAGTTAGTGGTCAGGGGCTGGGGTTTACTATATGATAGGCATGTGTCTGGTGGGTCATTATGTGTTGTCGTGTAAATAAATGGATTTAGAATCTATCATACTCTATGATCTATCACAGAAACAAAGAACAGAGTACCATATGTTTTCACTCATAAGCTGACTTTGAACAATTATCATAATTTTATAAGAAAGGAATTGGCAGTAGTGGGAAATTGCCAGGGGAGGGGGTTGGGATTGGCAGCTGAGGGAAACTGCCAGGTGCGGGAGGGGCACAACTTATCCACAAGGGTACCTGCATAATGAACATTTGTATATCTAACCCTGAATTGTACCCCCACATTTTTAAAATAAAAAAATTTTAAAAATGCAAATGCGATCATACTGTGCATTTCACTCGATCTGCTTTTTATTTAGGAACATGTCTTAGAATTTTTTCTACATATGTACAGATAAACTTCATTCTTTTAAACTGCTAATAGTCTACAGAATACATATAATTTATTTAGCCATTCCCCAATGAATAGACATAGGTTGCTTAGTTATTTTCCTATTACAATATTTTCGGTGAACATCCTATGTTTGTGTGTATTTTTCAAACAGGACCCAGTCAGAAAAACAAAAATCACATTAGTTATTGAAAGAGAAAGATTTGGCCGGGCTCGGTGGCTCAGCCTGTAATCCCAGCACTTTGGGAGGCCGAGGCGAGAGGATTGCCTGAGTCCACAGGTTCGAGACCCGCCCAGGCAACTTGGTGAGACCTCGTCTCTACAGTAAAATAAAAAATTAGCCAGGCGTGGTAGTGTGCGCCTGTAGTTCCAGCTACTTAGAAGGCTGAGGTGGAAGGATCGCCGGAGCCCAGCAGGTCGAGGCTGCGGTGGCTGGGAGCGTGCCACTGCACTCCAGTCTGGGCGACAGAGTGAGACTCCAACTCAAAAAGAAAAAAAAAAAAGAAAGAAAGAAAGAGAAAGATTTAATATGGAATACTGGTCTAAGGAATAACAAAAGGTAACACAGGTAACCACTGCCATGTAGCAGCTACCATCCCTAGAGCTAAGGAAGGAAGGAACAAGAGATTGGTGTCATCAGAACCTAGAAGCTTGGAGGAAGGCCTTGAACAGCTCAGTTCAGGCCTATAAAGAGAGGGAGATGTCTGGGTCTTGCTGGTCCTCTGGACCACAAAGAAGGGATCTCATGGCATTGAGATTTCTGAGGAGAAGGCAATATTGGCTATCTTAAGAGTTCAGGGGAGGAGCCCCCTGAAGCCAGGTCTCAGACCTCTGAGGACAGTACTGCCGGGCTGCTGTTGGTACCTCTGAGGAGTACAAAAAAGACGGTGACTAAAACCAACACTGGTTAAAGCAATTGCTTCTGCCAGGGTAAAGGTCTGCTGTTGGAATGATGTTAATAGAATGGATCAAGTCCCTTCTTTCTTCCTCTGTCTAGTTTCCCCGGTTGGTGGAACCTAACAGAAAACCAGCTGAATGAAGGAGAAATAGCGTGTAGAGCTCCTGTATCATGGAGTATAAAAGGGTAACTGTGTGGACATGAAAGATAATAACAAGATCGCATGTGCTTATGTTTCTGTAGTGCGACTCTGAGAAGCAAAATCACTAAGTTACAGGATCTGTACATCTCGAATTTAAATAAAAACTGCCACATTTCCCCTATTTTCCCAAAACTGTACATAATACTTCTGATATGGAAAAAAAGGAGGGGCTTTAGTGAGAATATTGCCTACAGTAGTACTCAAATTTTAACAAGACGGGAATATTGACAAAATGCAGAATCTGACTCACTAGTTCCGAAGTGGTCCTGAGAGTCTGCCTTTCTTTTTTTATTTTATTTTTTTTGAGTTGGAGTCTCACTCTGTCGCCCAGACTGGAGTGCAGTGGCCGCTCCCGGCCACCGCAGCCTCGACCTGCTGGGCTCCGGCGATCCTTCCGCCTCAGCCTTCCAAGTAGCTGGAACTACAGGCATGCGCTACCACGCCCGGCTGATTTTTTGATTTATTGTAGAGATGAGGTCTCGCTGCCCAGGCGGGAGTCGGCCTTTCTAACAAATACCCAGGTGATGCTGCTGCTTACATCACTTGAGAAGTCTAACATTCTCCTACCTTCCCACCGCCACCACCACCGCACTCTGTCGCTAACCTGGTGTGAAATTGCCTCTCTCATGGCTCTCATCAACTTCCTATCCGCAAAAAAAAGAATAAAAATTCAACTTCTGAATGCACGGAAGCCAGCATAGGGCGCCACGGATCTAATGCTTGGCTTCCTATTGGCTATATATGACGTCACTCACATAGGCATGGCTTTAATCGTGACGTTTCCGGCGGCGAGTGGTCAGGAACGCCTCGAGAGGCGGGAGCGGAAGTGGAGCAGCGAGAGGGCCGGGTGGTTGGCGGAGAGGGGAGGCCGGGGGAAGTTATTACAGGCAACGCTCTTCCGGCGCAAGGGGCCGGAAGTTGTGGCCCGACCGTGTCAGCCTGGGGGCTGCAGACTGAGAGTGCAGCTGCAACAGCGACCATGGGCGGGAAGAACAAGCAGCGGACTAAGGGGAATCTGAGGGTGAGTGAGAGGTGACCCGGCTGACCCAGGAGCCTCACCTCGCAGCGGTTGGCTCCGCCCGGCGCGTGGCTGGAGAGTGTGTGGAGCGCGGCCGTGGGGAGGCGTGTGTTTGCGTATAGAGTGTGACCTCTCTGTTGTGTGTGCGTCCCTGAGGACGAATTGGGTTATCGCTGAGCAGATTGAGGAATTGTGAGAGAAGTTCCATGTCAGAGCTGCACCATCTGAGCACACGTCCGCTGTATTCATTAAGAAATGATTCATTGTCAGTTTCAGCCGGAAGGTTACCTGCCGAGTTGGCGGGGTTGAGGGGTGGGGGGTAGGGAGGGCGGCGCTAGGAACTAGGAGAGTTGGATGAGAGGAAGTTAAAGTGAGCCCAGGTTGCAGGTTACCTCGGATCGTTTTAGTCTTCTGCTCAAAAATCTACAGGGACTCCCTACATCCCTCCGGGTGAAGGCCAAAGCTCGTAGTATGGTATATTTGGTTTCTGGTCTGATACCCCTTTACATCTTCAGTCCCATCTTAAACTTCTTGCTCTTGGCTTGCTCCTTTCAGACACATGGACCTCTTCACCGTTCCTTGATCTTACCTGGCAGGGTCCCAACGCTCTTCTGTTACCTGGCTCCAAATTTTGCTCTGGACTCCTCAGTGAGGTCGCTCATGATCGCTTTATTTACATTGTAACCTTTACTCACTCCTTATTCTCCTTTTTCTACTTTATTTTACTCCATTGCATTTACTGTCTTGCTTCACTAAGATGTATTTTGAAGGCAGATGTTTTTATCTGCTGCTGTTAACCTCAGAGCCTAGAACAGGAGCTGGCCTATAGTAGAAGCTCACTAAATACTTGTTTAAAGAAGACCTTACGGTGGATTCATATAGACCTACAGGATTAATTATGTTATTATGGTATTTTTTATGGTATTAGATTTGTTATAGCGCGGTCCAATTTTATGTTTCTGATCTAGTTCATTCTAGTGATTTCGGTACCACATTTTCTTAGATCTGTCGCTTAATCTGTTTTGGAAACTAATAACACCACCAATTGCAGTAACTTAATGCGTAACTACTGTGCTAAGCACTTTACTTACATTCTTATTTAATTTTTTTATCTTCTTAACGTTTTATTTTTGAAAAGTTTGCTGTATGAGGAAAAGTTGCAAGAACATTAGAGTTACATCCCATATATTCTTTACCTTTCTTCACCAATTGTTAACATTTGGTCATATTTGCTTTTCTCTCTCTTACTTTATGTGTTTTCCTGAACTGTATAAAAGTTAGGTGCAGAAGTCAGGACTCTTAACTCCTAAATACTTCATGTATTTTCTAAAAACAATGCCATTCTTCTACATAATTATAAGCAATTATAGCATGCAGAAACTTTAACCTTGATGTGATAGTATAATCTAATATACAGCCTTGTATTTAGATTTCTGTAGTCTTCTCAGAAATATTCTATATGACTTTTTTTTTTTTAAGATATACCATCTTAAAAAGTTCTGAGATCCAATCAGGGGTCACTCATTCCATTTAGTTTTCATTTAGAGTCCTTTAACCTAGGAAGTTGTCCAATGCTTTTTTGGGGTGGGGGCAGGATGGGGAGATGAGTCTCTTCTATAACACAGACAATTTGGAAGACTCTGGATCAATTGTTTTGCTTAATTTAGATTTGTCTAATTTTTTCCTTATGATTTGATTCAGGTTAAACAGTTTTTTGGAAGGAATGCTTCATAGATGATAGTTCTTTCTCAATGCATAACGCCAGAGGCACCTGATACCTGTGTTTATTACCATTATTGGTAGTATTAATCACTTGGCTAAGGTGTTATCTATTGTAAAGTTATCTTTTTCCATTGGCTAATGACAAATAATATACCAGTCTAAGACTGGGAATGTCCTGCTCTCCCATAAACTTTTGCTTAATGGTTTGAGCACTCTTTGATGATTCTTACTGGAATTAGTTATTATGGTGGTTTAAAAACTTTTTTTTTTTAGTTGGAATCTCAGTCTGTCGCCCAGACTGGAGTGCAGTGGCATGCTCTCGGCCACCGCAGCCTCGACCTGCTAGGCTCGGATGATCCTTCTGCCTTAGCCTTCCAAGTAGCTGGAACTACAGGCGCGTGCTACCATGCCTGGCTAATTTTTGATTTATTGTAGAGACAAGGTCTTGCCAAGTTTCCCGAGCTGGTCTCGAACCCACGGGCTCGGCAATCCACTTGCCTCAGCCTCCCAAAGTGCTGGGATTATAGGCTGAGCCAGCGAACCTGGCCAAAAATTTATTTTTAATCTTGATAACAACTCAAGTAATAAATTAGTTATTCTTATCTTATTTTGAAGATGATGGAACTAAGGTTTAGGGAAGTTAATTTGCCCAAGCTCATGTAGTCAGGAAGTTGCAGAGTTGGAATTTGAGCTTTTTTTTTTTTTGAGTTTGAGTCTCACTCTTGCCCAGGCTGGAGTTCAGTGGCACACTCAACGGCCACCGCAGCCTCAACCTGCTGGGTTCAGGTGATCCTTCTGCCTCAGCCTTCCAAGTAACTGGAACTACAGGTGTGTGCTACCACGCCCAGCTACTTTTTTGATTTATTGTAAAGATGAGGTTTCACCAAATTGCCTAGTCTGGTCTCGAACCCCTGGATTCAGGCAATCCTCTTGCCTCAGTCTCCCAAAGTGCTGGGATTAAGGCTTGAGCCACCGTGCCCAACTGGGATTTGAACTCCTAAGAGGCAGTTATTCATTCAACAGAAGATTTTAATACTGGATGTCAAATGTTCAAAGATGGTAGACAAATGTTTGCTGTTCTTGAACTATCTGATGATAGAAATTGATATGTAAGCAAATAGTATATTAAGGACGTATGATGTAGGTATGAGCAGAAAGAGTGCAGAACAGAAGAGAGTGGGAATTCACCTGGAAGGCAAGTATTGTAAACATGAGTGTTTTGAAGGATGAGTAAGAGTTTTTCAGGCAGTGAAAAGGAAGGAAGTGTTTTTAGGTTAAGAGAAAACATTATACAAAGATCAAATTGTGAAAGGGTATAACATTCAGAAAACCTTAAATTCAATTTGGTTCTGAAGCATGAATAATGGCAGCATAATTGGGAGAGGAAAGGGTGAAGTGGGACAAGGGAAGGAAAGAGTGGCAGGATAGAAGCCTGGGAAAAGTTGAGGTTAGGTGATGAACATTGTGTCTTTCTCAGAGTGGTCTTTAAACTGAAGACTCAGGATTGCCACCTCAAATATCTCCTGAAGCCAAGCATAGAAGAGTGTAGACAGAAGTAGGCATAGTATGATTAAAATTAAATGCCAGAAATAGAATGTGTTCTTAATTTTTATTGAATTATGGGTGTAAGTATGTAACATACAAAGATCATAACAGTAACTATACTTCAATTTTTTTTTGTAGATTAGAAAATATAATTTGTTTAGAAAGTAAATTAGAGAAAAAGAAGACGCACCTCCCCACAGTAGAAGAGGGGGCCAAAGCTTAAGAAAACATGGCCTGGCCATAGCTCACAGAGCACATGGCCACACCATAGTTCAGCAAGGCAATGGTTTTTTGGTTTGTTTTTGTTTTGTGCTTGTTGTTGTTGTTGTTTTCTTTTTTTGAGTTGGAGTCTCACTCTGTCGCCCAGGCTGGAGTGCAGTGGCACCCTCACAGCCATCATAGCCTCGATCTGCTCGGCTCAGGTGATCCTTCAGCCTCAGCCTTCCAGGTAGCTGGAATTACAGGCCTGGACCACACTCCCATCTAATTTTTTGGTTTATTGTAGAGGCAAGCTCTTCCCAAATTGCCTGTTCTGGTCTCGAGCTCTTGGGCTTAGGCCTTCCTGTCATCTCCACCTCCCAAAGTGTTGGGATTACAGGCGTGATCCACCGTACCTGGCAACTATATTTTAAATTCATAGTAGACATTGAATAAAAGATACAATTATTGCACTTAAAAATAATCTGTTGTTTTAAAATTGGAAATGGAAATTTGTTACTTTTTCTACTGCTTCTAGTTACGACTGTCAGCTCTGGTTTTTCAGGTTAGTTTGGAATTCAACCTCGATTCCTTTAGCTCTTGGCAATAATTTTTTATAATTCTGATTTGTAATAAAAACTTTATAAATGAACTAGTAGCTTAAAAATAGGAAACTTTAACCGGGCTCGGTGGCTCAACCTGTAATCCTGTGTTTTGGGAGGCTGAGGTGAGTGGATTGCCTGAGTCCGAGGGTTTGAGACCCGCCTGGGCAACTTGGCGAGACCTCATCTCTACAATAAATCAAA